GCGGGAGGGACATGGAATGACAAGTAGTAGATGCATTGCCGTTAGTGATCCTGAGGGATGTGTGGGTATGCAACCAAGTGCATGAGTGCGCGCATGTGTGCGTGCACGAGCATGTGCACAGGCACTTGTATGCTTATGCACTCGTGTGCGCACGCGCTTGTGAAATTGCGTGTCTGCGTGCGTGAGCATGTGTGACTACTATACTATGTGCCCACCAAGGTGAGCACATGTGCGTGCGTGTGTGTGGGGCGCAGGCGGATATGTGCACACATTTTAGAATGATAATCAAGAAGGACAGAGCTGTTCCGGTAATGCAGTCATGGGACACCACAGTAGGGCAAAACGTACTCAATATGCTACTGTGCTGCTGCTGCTAGAGTGCACAGCGTAATTGTTGGTACACAGCTACGTGAAATACAAGAGAACGTCTCAGCATTCTGTAAAGACTAAGTGATAATGCAAAATGTGAGAATGTATTTCGCCACAATACGAATTGAGTGCAGTCCACTTATGTGAGATAAAGCACAAGTGAACCAATACACATTGCACGACTTGCACGGAGATAATGCTAGCCATGTTACGCAGCAAACTCCATGTACAGGAGTACGAGTGAGGAGACTATTGATCTGAGTACTGTGCGAATACAAAATTTCACACAATTTACGATATGAAGAGAACGATTCGATTTGTGAGCATTACGTAGGACTATACTGTGAAAACACTTACGGATTGTCAGGGTTGTCTGAGCTGGTTTGGCTGCCGCTTCATTTCGAAATAGCCCAGCCAACCGGTTGCCAGATGTTGCTGATGGAGAGCGACTTCTCCAATTGCAGTAATTTCTGCTTCATCCACATTTACAGCCCGAATGGAAGCCACCGCTTGCGCTGCCATATCCTTTCCTGAAAATTTCGGCTCATGCCCGAAGCCAAACATTTTCAGCTCAGGCTCTGAGCTTTCAAGCTCGTCTGATACGTCGGAATCGCTCATGGTGAGGACGTCTTTGTCAGAACTATTCCTTTCACATACCAAAATACCTGTACTTCTGAGCTTGGCCCAGGCAAGCGAGTCTCAATGACGTAGAAGGGCGTGTTGGGGGTGTGTCGCGGCCGCATGACGTCATGGCGCGTCCCCCGAAAGTACAATTTAAACCGAAGATATCTCAGGAACGCTTGGTCGGATCGAAGTGGGACCTTCACCATTCGACTCAGCGTCCAAAACTCTACGGACCATGAAGTTTTGATTTTTGGGTGTAGTTCCCCTTTAACCACGGCTGAATGGCCAGCGCCCTATATGGGGCCGCTAGACGTGTGACCGGATTTTTATGTCCACGATCGTACGACAGTACAAGAACAGGAGTAAAATACCGAATTTTACGGTGTGTTGGGCTCACCGGAGTCTAAGCCGCACCCGCCTTTTCAGGTCCACCTTCTGTATTTGTATTGCCATCTGCTGTATAAGCCACCCGCCCATCAGATTTCGAATGTTTTGGCAACCTAACTTTAAGATGGTTATCATCAATTCATAATACAGACAATGGTTAAAAGGTTGAGAAGCATGACCGAAGTTCTACAAAATTGTCTACTTTTGTAGTATCCCTGCCCGACCAATACGGAAGTAGTGCGGAACTAATACGGAGCTTTGCCTGATTTAGTGTATCTCCGTATGTAAGCGTACGGCGTCTGCTGCATAAAAGCGGCTGCGCATTTCTGTTTTGATGAAGAAGGAGATTTTGATAATAACGAGCTATTCAACCTCCAGGTGTGCACCGGAGAGAAAGTCTGTTATTTTGCCGTTTTTTCTTTCACTAATAATTATATCTCAGGTGTGTACCTGAAAGAAGTAGAATAAAAGTAATTCTTGTTGATTTCACCGCGCCTACCACTCGGCTACCCATTACATTGGTGGCAGCGGTGTACTTCGAAGTAGTTTTAAATAAAACAACGTGATTCGACCCCAGACCCCCATGGCTCAACCCGCTGCAGCTCCGTGCGACGAATCAAGATGAGAATCATGTTTCTTGCCTTCCTGGGCCTGGCCCTGCTTATTAGCCTGCAGCACAGTCAGGGTGCTCACGTGGATCACCATTCTTTCCGCACGGCACACACTGGAGACTCCGATGGCGATTCCAAGCGACCCGCTACCTACATGTATACTACCGGTGGTGATGGCGAAGCTGATGAGGGCGACGACATGCAGGCTGCTGCCCAAGACAAGGAGGGTATTCCCCAAGACCAGCAGCGTTTGATTTTCGCCGCCACACAGTCGGAAGCAGGAGCCCACTCTTCACTTGGTACTTCGCCTCGGTGGTGGGATGCAGATTTTCGTCAACACTATTCCTGGCTAGACCATCACTCTTTACGTCGCGCAAAGCGATGCTATCGACAATGTGAAGACCATGATTCAAGACGAGGAGGGAGGTTATTTGTATGACGCCGAGCTAGCCGCTCTGAGTGACCGGCTCAACCAAGATGAAGATAAAACCTGGCTCGCCCTCCGCCATAGCTCCAGCCGCCGCCGTGGTTACTAACGCTGATTCCAGGTGTGGCATTTTCTTTCCTGTCTTTCTTCAGTCTCCCTGTTCTCTTCAGTCTTCCTTTATGCGAGTGTGTGAATCCAGTTTAGTTTGGTAGGCGTCTGATCATGGTGAGCCACGGTTTACCCAGCTAACGTGGGACAATGTGTGTGACAACGCCCCTTATAGTTATAGTGTATTCAGTTCGGTTTTTGAACTGCGATGTTCCTGGCGGGTTGTGCCAGCGTAGTGCAGCAAGAGTGCTGTGGATTTTCAGGTCCTATTTGGAGGACAGTTCTTTCCCCTTTTGACCCAGTGAGATCGTGTGAACCTGGTGTGCTTCTACCTTATGATTTGTTATCAGTTCATTTCTTCTGTCTACTCTAAACGTTATCATTTCCGATATAATTTGCCATCTTCCGGTTGACGCTGTGTTCGTAACTCTTCACTAATTTTTTGAAAATCACGAGGGCGTGATAATCTGTAGGAAGGGAGGGTGTAGTATCCCTGCCCGACCAATACGGAAGTAGTGCGGAACTAATACGGAGCTTTGCCTGATTTAGTGTATCTCCGTATGTAAGCGTACGGCGTCTGCTGCATAAAAGCGGCTGCGCATTTCTGTTTTGATGAAGAAGGAGATTTTGATAATAACGAGCTATTCAACCTCCAGGTGTGCACCGGAGAGAAAGTCAGTTATTTTGCCATTTTTTCTTTCACTAATAATTATATCTCAGGTGTGTACCTGAAAGAAGTAGAATAAAAGTAATTCTTGTTGATTTCACCGCGCCTACCACTCGGCTACCCATTACACTTTGCCCTTCACTCAGAACTGGCAACATGTACAATAAGAAGCTTTGCACCAGTATAATGATGGGCTGCAGTACATGAAGAGTAGCTGAACAACACCATGCATGCAGTATATTCATAGAGTGCTGTAGCGCTGGTAGTCATTCCTAGCATTCCCAGTCTTAGCTGCAGGGGTGATTTTGCAGTTTTGTATGCATTTCAAAGTGCGGAACACCCCAGAAAATCCGGTACTCAATCTGCAGGCAGAATTGTTTTGCCCGTAGGCTTGTTTTACATGAGAATTTTCAACCCGGGTTGAAAGTCTGTACAAGGGAACAAATAAGTGGGTGTTCGCATCAAGACAAATGACTCTCGTCAAATACTGATATGCCGCCAAAAGTCCACTTCTAGAGTCCTATATAGTCACGTGAAAGCATTCGCGCAAAATGTTCCGATGCAGTGCTGTTCAAACTTGGCACGAGATACGCACAGAAGTACGGTAGTAAGATTTCTAGATTTCAACCGTCCCCCGAGGGGAGGGTTGAAATCCACCCCGTTTGAAATTTCAAACCGGATTAAACGCAATGGTGCATATTAACGCTTCAGTCAATCTGTGTTCATGGTGGGTTGAAACTTGACCCTGGCTGAAACGCCTCTTGTCAACACAGCCTAGTGGACTCGCCAGTGCAGCACAGACATAAGAGGGCAAACCGTATACTTTGGTATATAAAGTTTGTATTTTTAGGCCTGCAAGAAAATAAAGGATTGCTCACCCCCCCCCCCACACACACACACACACACGCGCACACACACACACACACACACACACACACACACACACACACACATATACGGTCTCTGAACTGCAATAAAGAAAATAAAAAAATCGGCCCTGGGCATCATCAAGATTGACTGTAAAAAAGCAAGAAAGTTTACTGATAATATCTCTCTCATTGTGTGTATACCGTATTTTCCTGAGTACATGTAAAAGCCGCAATTCCAACGCTCAAAATACACTCAAAAATGTGGGTTGCAGCTTATACTCCGATGATCGATTATAAATTACTAGGGTTGATGTCTGTATTTTGTGGAAAACAATTTGGGCAGCGACTTACTATACTCCAGTGTGACCTATACTCTGGAATATACGGTATGTGTGTGAGTGTGTATGAGTGCATGTGTGTGCATGGTGCGTGGTTCCATGTGTGTGTGTGTGTGTGTGTACGTGTCCGGGGGGGGGGGGGGGGGGGGGTTGGCACGCATTCGCGTTCTCGTGTGCCACACCCGATTCTGCTCGTGACTTGAACACTGTTGGTCCCTTCGTGATCTTCTATCATCTCTGGATGGGTATATTCTATTCTGTCGTAATGTATGTGTACTTCTGAAGTATATGACTTTGTATGTATGTGGTGGGTGTGTTTGTGTGGGCGTGTGTGTATGTGTGTACATGTATGAATGGGTGTGTTTTGTGTGTGTATGCCGGTGTGTGTGTGTGTGTGTGTGTGTGTGTGTGTACATGTATGTGTAAATGTGTGAATGGGTGTATACCGGTGTGTGTGTGTGTGTGTTTTGTGTGTGTGTATGTCGGTGTGTGTGTGTGTGTGTGTGTGTGTGTGTATGTGTGTGTGTGTGTGTGTGTGTGTGTGTGTGTGTGTTGTGTGTATGCCGGTATCTGTGTGTTTCCATTGTGATACCCTGTTAGGTGTTCACTTCTGACACATTCTCTCACGTGGCTACCTTCGGTTCAAGCAGTTGTCTTTCTTCTTCGGCCGGTATTGCAGTATCACCCAATGGTACTGTGTATGTTAGTGACACTAGCAAAGACTGTATCACAATGTTCTAACTTTTGTCCTGGAGCATCTTGTTTCTTGTTCTACACTAATGTTTCTCACTGCTGTGAAACATGAACAGGACCAGTATTAGCAGTTTTTTTTTGCTCAGGCTTTACTATAGTATTTCAGATTTTTTGTGTGACACATCGAGTATGCATAACCTACCCTGTAGCTAACATGTATTGGGCAGGCCAACAGTAGATCCAGCAAAGTCCTGACCGACTAGAGCAGTTCCGACATGTCTGATTAAGCTGATCAACATACATGTATGAACATGGCCAATTACTGTTTATCATACTTGCATGATTGAATGTGGCCTTGCATATGTGTTTATGTGTGTGTGCATGTGTATGTGTGTGTGACTATGTATGGACGTGGGGTGTGTGTGTGTGTGTGTGTGTGTATGTGTGTGTGTGTATGTTTGTGTATGCGTGTGTGTATGCATGCATTTGCTTATGAACTCCTGCACTGAGTTGTATATACACATTGTACTTGGATCACTCTCATTGTTACAATCCTATTCTCGATGTGCAGAGGATGATTATATTGATTGTGTTAGCTGGGTGCTCTTTTTCCTTTCTCTGAAAATCTATTGCATTTCAGCGAAATGTCTCGCTGCTAAGTATCGCAATACATCATAAAGTTTTTTATGTCATTTTTGGATACAATGAAGAATGTGCTCATTGTCCGAGGTACTGTTTTCTTTCTATCATGGTTTGTGGTGTTTTCTGTTAGTATCTTTATTTTAGAAATGTTTCAAACCTTTATAACTGCTGCATACTCTTGTTTGATCTGAAGAGATGCAGTATTGTTAGTTGTCTGATAATTGCCTATGGAGTATGGCCATGAAACTCTTTGTTATAACGATGATGCGTGGTGCTCTGTGTTGCATGACCAGTCTTAGCTATAACCAACAATGCTACAGCCGTGTGAAGGGCACTTAGAGTAATAGCAGAGAGCAGTAAGAACAGAACAGAGCAATGACGAAAGACACCAGTTGCCTGAACAGAAGCGTAAAGAACAGACTGAGTAACGAAAGCCTGAAATGCCAGCAAGGAGCCAAAACCCAATCCACGCATGACGTCACATGCACATGCGTGGGGCACACATAGAACACATGAGTACTTTAATGCGGTACACGCGACTCTCTGTGTAATTTTGTGTGAGGGAGATAGTATTGGGTGGTTGTTAGATGGTTATAATTATGATGAAACAGTGAGGCAGTGAGATGGTGACATGGTGAAACAGCGAGGCAGTGAGATGGTGATATGGTGAAACAGCGAGGCAGTGAGATGGTGATATGGTGAAACAGTGAGGCAGTGAGATGGTGATATGGTGAAACAGCGAGGCAGTGAGATGGTGATATGGTGAAACAGTGAGGCAGTGAGATGGTGATATGGTGAAACAGCGAGGCAGTGAGATGGTGATATGGTGAAACAGCGAGGCAGTGAGATGGTGATATGGTGAAACAGCGAGGCAGTGAGATGGTGATATGGTGAAACAGCGAGGCAGTGAGATGGTGATATGGTGAAACAGCGAGGCAGTGAGATGGTGATATGGTGAAACAGCGAGGCAGTGAGATGGTGATATGGTGAAACAGCGAGGCAGTGAGATGGTGATATGGTGAAACAGCGAGGCAGTGAGATGGTGATATGGTGAAACAGTGAGGCAGTGAGATGGTGATATGGTGAAACAGCGAGGAAGTGAGATGGTGATATGGTGAAACAGCGAGGCAGTGAGATGGTGATATGGTGAAACAGCGAGGCAGTGAGATGGTGATATGGTGAAACAGCGAGGCAGTGAGATGGTGATATGGTGAAACAGCGAGGCAGTGAGATGGTGATATGGTGAAACAGCGAGGCAGTGAGATGGTGATATGGTGAAACAGCGAGGCAGTGAGATGGTGATATGGTGAAACAGCGAGGCAGTGAGATGGTGATATGGTGAAACAGCGAGGCAGTGAGATGGTGATATGGTGAAACAGCGAGGCAGTGAGATGGTGATATGGTGAAACAGCGAGGCAGTGAGATGGTGATATGGTGAAACAGTGAGGCAGTGAGATGGTGATATGGTGAAACAGCGAGGCAGTGAGATGGTGATATGGTGAAACAGTGAGGCAGTGAGATGGTGATATGGTGAAACAGCGAGGCAGTGAGATGGTGATATGGTGAAACAGCGAGGCAGTGAGATAGTGATATGGTGAAACAGCGAGGCAGTGAGATGGTGATATGGTGAAACAGCGAGGCAGTGAGATGGTAATATGGTGAAACAGCGAGGCAGTGAGATGGTGATATGGAGAAACAGCGAGGCAGTGAGATGGTGATATGGTGAAACAGCGAGGCAGTGAGATGGTAATATGGTGAAACAGCGAGGCAGCGAGATGGTGATATGGTGAAACAGCGCGGCAGTGAGATGGTGATATGGTGAAACAGCGAGGCAGTGAGATGGTGATAATTATGGTGAAACAGCGAGGCAGTGATATGGTGATATGGTGAAACAGTGAGGCAGTGAGATGGTGATATGGTGAAACGGCGAGGCGGTGAGATGGTGATATGGTGAAACAGCGAGGCAGGGAGATGGTGATTTGGTGAAACAGAGAGGCAGTGAGATATGATATGGTGAAACAGCGAGGCAGTGAGATGGTGATATGGTGAAACAGCGAGGCAGTGAGGTGGTGATATGGTGAAACAGCGAGACAGTGAGATGGTGATTTGGTGAAACAGCGAGGCAGTGAGATGATGATATGGTGAAACAGCGAGGCAGTGAGATGGTGATATGGTGAAACAGCGAGGCAGTGAGGTGGTGATATGGTGAAACAGCGAGGCAGTGAGATGGTGATATGGTGAAACAGCGAGGCAGTGAGAAGGTGATATGGTGAAACAGCGAGGCAGTGAGATGGTGATATGGTGAAACAGCGAGGCAGTGAGATGGTGATATGGTGAAACAGCGAGGCAGTGAGATGGTGATATGGTGAAACAGCGAGGCCGTGAGATGGTGATATGGTGAAACAGCGAGGCAGTGAGATGGTGATATGATGAAACAGCGAGGTAGTGAGATGGTGATATGGTGAAACAGTGAGATGGTGATATGGTGAAACAGCGAGGCAGTGAGATGGTGATATGGTGAAACAGCGAGGCAGTGAGATGGTGATATGGTGAAACAGTGAGGCAGTGAGATGGTGATATGGTGAAACAGCGAGGCAGTGAGATGGTCATATGGTGAAACAGTGAGGCAGTGAGATGGTGATATGGTGAAACAGCGAGGCAGTGATATGGTGATATGGTGAAAAGAGAGGCTGGGCGATGGTGATTAGGTGAAGCAGTGACATAGCGAGGTGGTGTATTCAAACAAACTAGTTGAGGCTTTCTGTATCAACTTCATACCAAATTTTTGAAGTAGTTTTCTTCCTCAATTTTCTTATGTGAATTGCAAACCTGCAAGAAAGCGCCACTCCTTGCTAACTACACGGTGTTTGGGTGAATGCACCCGTCATCAGTTGAGTTCCAGGATCACTGTACACATGATGTAGTGCTCTTTGAGACTTAACACTACTAGGGTCTAGGGGTAGACACTAAAATTTAATGTAATAACACACAGTGACAGGTCTCAGTGTCACTATATTTCTACTCTCACAATCACCTACTGAGTATTGTGAGCACCAGGCAGCGGCGTTAGTCAATATAGCTCCCTGGCGACAGACTTGTCACTTGCCTGACTAGGACTAAATCAGTTGTACATAACATGTCTCTCTCTATCTATCTCTCTCACTCTCTTTAGCTCTCTCACTCTCTCTCCTCCCTCTCTTTTCCCTCTCTGTCGTCCTCCCTCTTTCTCTCAGCCACTCACCCTTTCACTCTCTCGCACACACACACACACACACACACACACACACACACACACACACACACACATACACACACACACACACACACACTACTACTACTACTATGTACAGCTACCCTATCGGGCCACGCCGCTCCCAGAAGCGGGAGACAACGACAAGAAGAGAGAAGAGAAGAGAGAGAAATCGCAAAGTCAACAATATTTGGCATGGCGTTGCAAGTCCTGTGGCCTTGAGAACCGTCTTTCGCAATGCTCGCATTCATGACGGCAGTTGTTCCTGGCTGCACGTGACATCCGTTTCGCACGGTCACAGTGATGACGGCTCAAACCAGAACGAGAGCGGAAAGAGCGGCGACAAACATCACATCGCAAAGAGTCAGATTCGTGGCGAATGGATACAGTGGGGACATCCGTGGACACAGGACAGCGATGCACAGCCAGTCCTCCAGCGCTCCTCAACCACCGCATGCACTTCATACATTGCCTGGCACCCTTCTGTTGTGACACAGGCAACTTCCGCTGGGCAATGCACTTGTGTCGGGCCATGTCGTTACGGCGGCGGAAGTCTCTGGCACACAGCAAGCAGCGCAAAGGTGGCAAATCATCTGTGTGCGGTGGTGGCTCAGCAAGGAACATCCTCCAGTTCTGCCCTGTCTTGGGCATTCTGAAACCAGGAATCCACGCCAGCTGCCCTCATGTCTCTCTGGACAACGTCTTTCCAGCGCCGCCGGGGACCACAAGGAGGGCGACGACCACTCAACCTTCCAAACAAAACCTGGACGGGAGCACGGTCTGCAGGCATGCGCGCGACGTGCCCGAGCCATTCCAACCGCCGACGCCGAACAAGGTCTGACACCGGTGTAGTGTCACCCCAGCGCGCACGGAGCGTTGCCGATGAGATTTTCTCCTCCCATTGCTGACGCCGAGATACACATAAGATGGAGCGAATGCACCGGTGGTGAAAGTTCACACACACACACACACACCTTGACTTTTGACGCCCATCGCCGGAGGCTATGGTAGCAATGCTACGGCAAAAGCCATAGCAACTTGTGCTGGGCTTGCACCATTCAACAGCTTGCAAGGCTGAAGAATTGATCGTCACTATTCAGCCTGGTCTACACCATACAGCTATTTGAAGTGACTTTTTCTGGTCATTGAATCCCTGGTTTTGGTCTTTTCATTTTTTTCCCGCACACACATCACACCACATACTCTGGCATGCACTGGGTGTTGGTAACCACCCAGGAGAATGAAAGAAAAGTCAAGAAGAGTCTGAGAAAGAGAAGAAAGACGTGTGTAACCATAATCGTCGGGAATCGAACCCGCAAACTATCGATTGGAAATCGCTGCACATACCACTGCACCATATGGGACACGTGCACGCAAACACACACACACACACACACACACATACACACACACACACACACACACACAAACACTCACACACACACACACACACAAACACACACACACGCGCGCGCGCGTATACTAATTATTATGATGCACACAAACATGGAGTCAAGGCGGAGAGGGTACTACGGTTGGAATTGATCAAGCAATGGCCAGGCCAGTTCAGGATGATAAGCAACATGACTCTCATATTCCATTTTATGTTCCACTACGCTCGATGTGATGTTATAGTTACGGTTGCCAGCTGCAAAGACACGACAACACGTGAGCACTGGCTATCCAATATAGAGTTCTGTAACAGAAATATGAATTGGACTCTCAGGTACGAGAAACCACACACACACACACACACACACACACCACACACACACACACACACACACACACACACACACACACACCACACACACACACACACACACACACACACACACACACACACACACACACACACACACACACCTGTCCTGTCCTGTCCTTTAGAGCCACTACCACTAGGGTCACGTGGGCCCCGGAGGGACCCACTTGCACACACACACACACACACACACACACACACACACACACACACACACACACACACACACACACACACACACACACACCTTT